GAATATAAAAAATGCTTTGCACACTTTAAGGTAGAATATAAATGCTGTTATTTATTAGCAGCCTGGTAATGCTGATCTCTGACATTTGGACTGTCTTTCTAATAATTTAAAAGACTATTTTTCTCTAGATGAAGTCTCATTATATTATGACCAAAGAACAGAATTTTACTTTTTTTAGACATAGCACTGAGTAATCAGCTCCCTTTAGAATAATGTTTTGGCTTAATAATGAAAATATTTTAATAACTGAAATTATTACCCACTGAGTTACTGTCACCATAATGTTCTAAAACAGACAAATATCCTAGAATGATAAACATTCTCTTATCTGGTTTTCCTTAAGGAAAATTTCTATAATTGTCACCATTCTTGGTGTGAAAGGGTCATCGTTTATCCTCCCTCCTTCTCTCTCTTCTTCCATCCATTCTTCTCTCCTTTGTTCCTCCCTTCTTTTTGTCTCTATCCTTTCTTCCCCCACCACCTTGAAAGAATGTGTAAACTACCAGCATTAAACATAAAAGGGATTTCCCATTTGCTCTCTTTCTATGTTCTTAACTGATAACTTTTTACCCACCCCCCTTAAAGAATTCTGTCAAGACTTGTAAAAATTGGATTTTTTACCCCAAGAAAAGTAACAGGAAATTGTGCATGCAATAGTATGCATGCAATAAAGATTTGCTGTGGAGATGCCCTAAATTAAAGTCTTTTGCTCAATAATGTCTCCTGAATTTATCCTGAAATTAAATCTAGAGTATATGTGGAAATTGGGTATTTTATTTTACAGTGCTAAAATATAACTTGTGTATGAATTGTGAGTTTATTTAAAGAGAGAATATAAAGATTTTCCTCTAATCACCTATATTTGCTATAACGTATAAATAATATTTTGTAGTTTCTACTTGTCACTTGCTGGGGTTTTCAAAACATCTCATTATAATCCCTTTCAAAATAGAAAAACAACAACAAAAAGTTAATAGTCAAGAAATGTCATAGGACCTGAGTAAATATTTAGAAAGGCATCTGATACCTATAGTAATACTTTTCCAAATGTCTGTTTGATGAGGGTCCGCACAGATGGCAGGTGTTCCTACAGAGTGCCTGTGAGAGGGAAAAATGAAACACTAATTAGTTCATATTTGTGCCAGGAGTGATAATTTCTGTAATACCATCAATTATGCTTATCAAGATGTCTTAAATTATTCATTGATCAGTGCAGGGATATACAGACAGTGGCAGTCATTTGGAACTTAGTAATATTGCTTGAAAATTCTATATTTTCTTAAACTTCTAGTTAAGTATAATGGTTGATTTATTGTTTGAGGAGACTTAGAATATCAGCAGGATGCATTTGTTTAATGTTTCAAAAAATGTTATATTTCTTTTGGCCAGGATTATCTTCTAAATAAAGATTATTTACAAAGGACATATGGTTCCAATTCTAAAATCCAACATTATAGTCCTGGCTATTTTTATTTTGAAAATAAATTCTGTATATTTAATTCACAATCTAGAGTAAAAATAAAGATGTTTGTATAAATAGTTATCATATGTCTCCTTCATCTGTAAATGGATGTGTGTATGTATGTGTGTGTGCATCTATGATGTATGCACATGCAGTGACCTATTATTCAGCTACTAAAATCTTGCTTATTGAGTTTTTCTGAATGGATCTGAAACACTAAGTTTTAGTGGTTATTGCTCTTTGGTTTTCCTACAGAATATTCTTTTATTACTCTCTCTATCAATGCATTTTCACACTGTTTTGGATTTGGTTGTATTAAAAATATTCAAGTATCTATAAAGGATAGGAGTGGGTATTAGAGAATATGGATTATAATACTGGATATGCTGCTAAATTGCAGTCACTTTGTACAAGTAACTAAAACTCTCTGTGCTTGTTTTCTTATTATTTATAAAAACAGAAAATTAACCAGATATTTTCTACTTTTTATGGTAAAAGAAATATTAATATTACTTTACATTGTGAATCCATCTGGCCTGAGGGAGTTTCTCTAAATTCAGCTTTTCTTTAAGTTTAGGTATGGCCAAGACATTCTATGGGAAAGTAGGAAATTTTACCATAAAAATAACAATGGCAAAACCCCACATGGCAAAAACAATACTAGGCAATAAAAACAAAATGGGAGGTATCAATTTACCAGACTTCAAACTGTATTATAAGGCTTTAGTAATCAAAACAGCTTGGTACTGGCACAAAAATAGA